CTGTGTTTAAAGTTCGTTGAGATCACCAGACATACTCAGTTTGTCTGACGATCGTAAATAGCGTAAAACCCAGTGTCACAAACTAACATCAATCCAGCTATATATATATATATATATATATATATATATATATATATATATATATATATATATATATATATATATTATAGTCTCAGTTACGGTGGACTGGTCATGTTTTGAGAATGTCTGATGATAGGAAACCCAAGATCCTAATGTACAGCCAGTTAGATCAGGACTACAGGAATGTAGGACGCCCATGGCTGAGATACAAAGACAAGCTGAAAAGGAACTTGTCAGCAGTAAATATACCACATAACACCCTTGAGCGCTTAGCCTTGGAGCGGGTAGAATGGAGACCAACGTGTTTTAGTGGATTCAGCAGTTTTCAATCTGCTTGTCTGAATCGTCTCCAAGAAGCGAGAACAAGATCTAAAAGGTCAGCCAATCTAACAGTGATCTCATCTCACAATCCTCACACTTGCTCCATATGTGGCCTCCTTTTTAAATCACTAGCGGGTCTTAAATGCCACTTAAGATTATCGCACAAAATTTCATAACTGAATCAACTAAAGTGTCAGAAACGTCGAAACTGACGGGAGAGTCCATTATATATATTAGCTATATAGTTGTAAAGAAAGGGGATGTATTTTTTATTTATTAATTCAAGAGATTTTTATCACTTAAACGTTATTTTTTTAGTGGATACTCGTATATGAGTCGACGCCCCGTTTATTTATTAAACAATATACTTATTTATTTTCGTCTATCGGCGTGAATATTCGAAAAACCTTATTATATATATATATATATATATATATATTGTGTATTTAGGTAGCAATCCTTCATTTATAGATGTTTCATTTAAGACAACAGCCAAGGTACTGCGATTAAGCTTTTTAAATTTTATCGTGTTCGGACAATTGTTTTATTTTCTGGACGCGGAGTGTGTACAAACTGTCCAAATGCCCTGTAATTCTTTATTGAAAGGTATATATATATATATATATATGTATGTGTGTATAGGCCAGGAGATGCTAAAAAATAGGATAGAATAATATTTAGTTTTGACTCCGTGAGGCCCCTAAAACACTTAGACAGGAGAATATGGGAAACATCTCGCCACAAATCTAAGATGCTATTTATTTCGGGCAGTAGAATATTGTTATTCTTATCAACGGCAAAAATATCGACAAATCGGCCATGGAAACGTGTGATCCGGCTAAGATCTGAGGTGATGTCACTGATGAAACATCGAAACCAGATTTAGAATCACTGGGGAAATTCATCAAATTCTTTCTTTGAATTTCTTAATAAATAGCGAAGCACAACGCTATCCAGGGGATTCGTATGTGAAGATTCATGGGTTTGGCTTCTCGATGTTCGGACGCATTCAGAACCTTTGAGGTTAGGGTGTCGTGACGAGGCGACGGATGATTTGGAAGCACGCCATAGAGAATATCAGCGTTTTGGTCTTTTTTGCTTTTTAGCGGTTTGGAGAGAAAAAGAAAATAATTTCGCATCATCAATCACAAAAACAAAAGAAAAAAAGAAACAAGGAAAAATAATCTTAATCAAAGTGAAGAGAAAGAAAAAGAAGGAAGAAAAAAAAAGGGGGGGAGATTCCTCTTAGACCAGAGTAGGTGAAGAGAAGGAATTAGAGAGAGAAAATGTAGAATAAAGAAAAAAAAAAAGAAGGTAGTTCCCGACAATGTGTGTAGCATGGTGGCTCTTACAAACTTGGTCTGTTTAAGTCTAAGATTAACTGTTATTTTCCCACCACATACCCGCATAAACTTGGACATTCCGACGTGGTGTAATGGTTAACAAGCTTGTCTTGCTGGATTAATTACGACTGAATAGTGAGTATGATTTTCATTAGGTGCTCCAAACGTTTGGTGTTGTACTAAGCTAGGCTTAGAAAATCACTTGTGCAGTTCGACGAGATGTAATGGCTAACAGGCTTGTCTCTCTAGATCAATTATGACTGCGTAGTGAGTTTGATCCTCACTAGGTGATCCAAACGTTCGATCATGTGCTACATCTAAGCTATGTTTAGCAAATCATTTGTGCCGTTCGACGTGGTGCAATGTTTAGCAAACTTATCTCTCTAGATCAATTACGACAGTAATGAGTTCGAGCCTCACTGGGTGCTCCACACTTTCGACCATGTGCTACATCTAAGCTAGGCTTAGAAAATCACTTGTGCATTTCGACGTGGTGTGATTGTTAGCAAGCTTGTCTTGCTGGATCAATTGACGACTGAGTAGTGAGTTTGATACTCTCTGGGTGCCTTATACTTTCGACTTTGTGCCACATCTGAGCTAAGCTTAGAAAATCACCATATCCGAATAAGCTGTGACCTCCAGTGACTCCTGGGCCTTGTACAGTGTGAACACTACTGTACAAAACTAGACAGACCAAAAACTCCCATCACGACACTATTTCAGGAAGCTATACAACAGAGACACGTGAATAAGTGAAAGTAAATCTTCTTCCGTTGTACCGAGTACAGCATTTTTTGACTTGTTACTTTCTCCCTATATTAACTACGCCCCACCTCCCAAAAATCGTATTTTAAAATATATTGAATTGAATTAATTAATTAAATTCAGTAGACATATACTTTCTTTTCACTCAAATTCTATTGAAAAACAGTGGGAAGATACTGTAAATGTAATCCCTCATGAATGGGTGCTGTGCATTCAGTAGTCTATTATGGTACCCTGAATGACTTTTCACCACTAAACTACCACTCGTTCCACTCTTCTTAAATGCGATCTTTAAACGGCTTGTTGAGACACAGATCCAGTTGTGTTTTTGTTCAACATCATCTCAAAAAGGAGACGAAAAAAAAAATCTCCCATGCTAACAACTTACTATAAACCACAGGACTTAAGGTTCACATTTTATACCTGGCGTATAAGTCGGCACCTACATTTGGAGTAGTAAGAAAAATATCGGATAAAAACGTCATCGATTCCTTAGAAATTACACACCCATGTATTTATATCGTAATTGTACCCGAATAATACGCAGTGATGTATAATACACACTCCTAATATATCGTATATAACACGCACTGACCTTTTACAATTGGTTGCAGCAAAGTGTATCTCAAATTTAATATTTATTGAACTCTTTATCCAGTTCGTACCAATTAAATTAAGAATTTACATAGTTTAGATAATTAGTTGTGATAAATAAAAGTTGTTAGGATAAATATAAAATCGAAAGCTATGATAAGCTCAATGAGGCGTGTTTAAAGATTTTAAATACAAAGGAGATTAAAATTTAAGTTTAAAGCTGAGCGTGTCTGTGACTTTAACGTTTCGATGTAAACTGGAAAGGTTTGTTCTATTTTATCGCCCTTCCTGTATTACATTAGTATTATGTAATTATATTTACATTGGTATTAACCGTATTACATTGGTATTAACTGTATTACATTGGTAACTAATGCTCATAATCTGGTTTTACGAATCATACCTCATTAAAACTAAACATGCTTTGTTGGTTTTACGTTAATTAATTAATTCATTAAATAATTATTAATAATTAATAATTTATTAAGAATTAATTTATTAATAATTAATTTATTAATTTTAATCTATTAATAATTAATTAATTAATTAATCTACAACACTCGTGCGCAAGCATTTTGCTTATGCATTTGCCGAAAAGACGGAATTCCTTTTATTTGCCCAGCTCTTGTCAGCGATTTAAATAGATCTGGGGAATAATGATTTGCTCTCTCTATTCTATGTGCTGTGTCCCTTTAGGACGCCGGGGATCATGGCTCTTCACAACTTCCTATCCTTTGTAGCTCTAAGCAATGTCTGTGCTCTCAACATCCTTCTCAGTCCGTTTTCTGCCTCGAGTTCGAATTCCAGTTGAGTTCGTTACATTCAGTTACACGCAAATATCCTTGGGAAAGGTATTAACACATCCCCACCTATGGGTTAAAGAGTAGAACTTGTACTGGAAAAATCATTATAAAAAATTGTTAATGCAATATTTACTCGCAAAAAAGAATTATTCTTGGGATCCAAAATATTTCGGCTTTAAATTACCTACAAATGTTTGATAATCCGTAAAAAAACATAACAATCAGTCAACCGGCATCCATTTACACAATCCGGCATCCATTTGCACAAAGTCGTTAAGTAGGTTACTTCCTATTTTCTTGTGTCCCTCTTCCCTTCAATATGCCTTGTGAGAGTCAAATTCTCCAAGAAATTTTTCAGATCTTAGGAAGCAGTGGTGTCCTTTTCGTTTCTAATTTCCTTAAAACTTCCTCGTTGCTCACATGTTCTGTCTATGGTATTCTCAGTTTAGTTTTGGGAAGGCGTCTTCAAATGCGCCTTCAGATTTCAGTGTCACATTTCCCATCGTCTTTTATAAAACTTCTCCGATAATTAAATTTCTGTACATGGAAGATGGAAAAGACGAGCATTCGGTTGTTTTCGTCGTGACGTGTGTCGTTTCTCATTGGCCACTTTCTATTATTTCAAGTTCAGTAGTTGCAGTTGTTCGTATGTCCTGTTCGTTATTGTGTGCTTGGTATGCATTTGCTTCGGGATCGCCTGCCGGAATAGGTATTGTTCCGGTAGGGTTGCTTGGGTGAACAGGTATGATATTGAAAGACCCGAAACTTGTTATGATCCCAAATCAATAATATCACTGATGAGGCGATCCTGCGCACCCATTGGGGATTATCACGACAAACATGGTTCGAACGTTTCTAATCCCTAGTATGCATCTAGGCTGCCCCTTTTGCTAACGACCATAGATTCTGTCTTCTTACAATTGATGGCCTTATTGTCATTGTAATCAGCTGTCATCCAAGTCTTAGCCTCTTATCCGGTGTATTAAGGCAATTTTCGTTAAAACCAAAGAAAAAAGTGCTAAAATGTTATTTAATATCAATCTAGTGAATGCTGGACAATCTCTTCGCAGATGAAGATGAGACTCAAGGCAAAGGATGCTGAGAACATGGAACATGGGAACAATTAGGAAGTTTTATGAAAAATGGGACGAATAAGGACACATAGAATCAGAAATCGATAGCTGAAATTTCTGGAACGCATAATGAAAAAAAGGGCTTGGAAAATTTGACACTCACAGGACGTACTGAAGATAACAGAGACAGGAAGAAACATTAAATTACATAACTAGCAAGTTTATGTACATGGATGTCAGGATAGGGATATTAAAGGGCTTTAAAAAAGCTATAAAGTATAGGAAGTTGTGGAGAGCCATGATCCTCCGCGTTCTAAAAGCAAACATAAAAATAGAGTGCATGTTTTTACGTTGCTTTAATTCTCTCCATTGAATCTGATCTGTAAGGAACAAAGAAAATCAGACAGAGTCTCTTCATGACTTTCTCTTCCTCTCGCAATGTTGGTATCGTGTCACAATAGAAAATCTCATCTCGTTGGTGAGGAAGATACTCTGGCATTTACATAGCGTCGTTTTGATTCCTGCCTATCTGAAAAGCTCATGGAATCGGTTCAGTTCATGTTCAATGTTCGTTTTGAACCGTAATGTTATCCATGAAAGCTTTCATGTCTGGTGTCATTGGATTCCTTTTCATGCATGGACTGAACTGCTCCGTTCCAAACAGTAACATCTCCATTATTATTTCGAAAACAATCATAAAAAAACTATTATTATGCTAACTTCCAGTTTCAGCCAGACAGTCAACTGATATCACTGCAATGATTTTCTTTTGTGTTTTAATCATTTCAACCCAAGCAAGGCGGTAAAGCAACTAAGACGGAAGACGTTACTGAGAGTGAAAGATAACGAGAATATTTTAGTGAGGAGAAAGGACGATAAAAGATGGCGATTGAATTGGCATTTAAATCTTTAAAGATTGTAGTTGGCAGGGAAGCAAGAAACCGGAAGAGAGTTCCACAGATGAGAAGTGCGAGAGAAGAAACTATTAGAATAGAACTTACGGTTATATCTAACTATTTTAACAGTAAAACAATCAGACTTATAGGTAATCAAGTAGTATACTTAAGTTCATATCGATGTACCAACAAAGAACAATTTGGTTGATTTTGTTTAGTGGCATATCAACATCTCTATGGGTTACTTAATACCAAAATCTAAATAATTTGAACATAATTGTATACCTTCAACTATAGATAAAATGTATTGTTGGTTATTTTACTGTAAATATTTCTTCTTTGTCAATTTTTTTTATATAAGAATGTATTGCTGGTATGTTTACTATAAAAATATATTTTTATACTTTGATGGTGTTTAATTTTTTTTGGGGGGGTCACTATATGCCAATAACTGGGACCCTAACAGGTGCTACCACCCCGTGTCACGGTGGGCCTGGGAACAATAGCAGTTTAGAAGTGTTCCATGCTCCTCAAAATCTCCAATCTCCAGATTAGAGGTCTTGTTGCCGGGTGTAGTTTATCGTCATACCCAGGACTTCATTAGAATAACTGTCATGAAAATATTTATAGAATTGACAAGGTTAAGCCAACTCACAGCGGTGGAAAAGTGACTGAAGTCGAAATACCAGGTCGGGACCAATAACACTACAGACTCTTCTTTGGATTTTGTCGAGAATCTCGAGTTGGTCCTAATCTAAACCCCTCATCATTGACACCATTTACTGATGTTTAAATAAATTTATGCTTATAAATAATGAACAAATAACTACTATTTTTTGTCTATCTGTCTAGGGACAATTAAGCGCGGGAAAACAATTAAGCGCGGGAAAACAATTAAGCGCGGGAAAACTCTAATGGCGGAGAAGATAAACAAATTCTGAAATACAATTATTTCATGCACTAATGACGGCTTCTCATTGATTCATTAGAATTCAGATCTTAACACACTGTGGTTCGGTTACTGCATCAATTAGTGCTATTTATGAACATATGGGCCTTGGGCATGAGAAACTATGTTATCACCATTCTAATTAACGTCCTGGGTATGACGATAAACTGCATTCGCGTCCTGGGTATGGCGATAAACTACGTCCAACAGCAAGATCAGGAGGTTTTGAGGAGCGTGGAACCACCTCTTAATTGCTAGTGTTCCCAGGCCCACCCTGACACGGGGTGGTAGCAAATGGGCAAATAGTTAACCCCGAAACTGAGGTAAAAAGCATTATAAGTGTAAAAATAGGTTTTAATACCAGAAATATTTTGTAAAAAAATTATTACTAAAAAATAATATTACCAGCTGTACGTTTTTGAGGAAAAAATATGAACAGAAATAGATTTTTGACAAAACAAAAATATTACCAGGAAAAAAAGTTGTCGGCATTAAATAACCCAATGAGGTTGATATACCGTAAAACAAAACAAACCATTGTAATTAAACTAATACATATGGCTTACGGCCACATCACGTTGAAACACCGGTTCCCGTACGCTCACCGAAGTTGAGCAATGTCGAGCTGGGTCAATACATAGACGGGTGACCGCTTGGGACTACCATGTGCTGTTAGCGTGGGTGTGTGGTTGGTGTAATGAATATTGGCTCGGAATTGTAATCGTAGAGCCGAGTTCCAATTCCCGTTAGGTTCGTTATATTCACAAATGAATCCACCTCTTCTCTCTCCAGCTATGGGTTAATTAATAAGACTTGTATCGCTAAACCGTTATTATCCACCCCACCAAATTCTTACAAACTAAAAACATTTTCTGGCTTTAAATAACCTGCAATGGGTTGATAAGTCGTAAAATCAAATCAAACTAATGTAAGGTACTTCGACGTGGTGTAATGTTTAGCAAACTTGTCACGTTAGAACAATTACAACTGAGTAATGAGTTCGATCCTCACGTTTGGCCTTGTTTCAGATCTAAGCTGCACTTAGTAAAAATCATTTTGGCAAACTTGTCTCACTAAATCATTTACGACTGAGAAGTGAGTACGATCCTCACTGGGTGCCCCATACATTCAGTCTGGTGACACATCTAAGCTACGCTTAGAAAAATCACCATAATGTCATTTTTTGTTACGATTGATTCAAATAAAGTCTTTCCTCTCTTTGGTCAAATTACGAAGCTGTGCTGAAAAGTTCTCGGTCTTACTCATTTCCCCAAATTTAACCAAATGGCAGCATGTCAGATTTTTAAAAAATCTCTTCTTGGTAGGGCTGTGAACTTTACCTGTACGTTCATTTTTTCTTATCATTTCACCCCAAGCAAGGCGGGAATGCCACTAGTATGTAGAGGGTTACAGAGAGTGAAGGCGTGAGAAAAGACTAGGCATAGTGGGGAATCGAAGAATGGATAAAAGCTGAACGGAGTTCAAGAAGATAGATGGCGATTGACGTTGCATTTAAATTTTTGAAGATTGTAGTTATCAGGGAAGCAAGGAAACGGAAAGGAGTTCCACAGGCGAGAAGTGCGAGAAAAGAAACTGTTGGAGTAGAAGTGGTGATTACATTTAACTATTTCAACAGTAAAAAGGTGGGACCTAAATGCCAAACTAGTAGCACGTTTAACGCTAATATTATAATAACTATTATAATTGATTGTGATTCTGATTAGTATCTTTTATTATAATTACATTTTTTTACATGAAGTATGATAAAGATTCACCGCCGTTATTTCTGTCCGTAGAAAATTAGCATACCGCATTTTTTTCTTAAAAAATAATAATCAAAATCAGGGGTGCGTATTATGCACAGCTACAAAAATCTTTAAAAATTGACGTAAAATAAAATAAGAATTATCATAAAATCTAAATTAGTATAATATTATTCTATGCTTAAAACCATTTTTTTTAAAAATAGGAGTAGGAAACGCTGGCCGTAATGAAATTGAAGGGGTACAATTTATAGGGTTTGATTACCAAACAAGAGGTGCGTATTATGCATGAGTAGACGTATTTTCCCACACTTTCAACATAATTTTAGGTGTGCGTATTATGGATGAAGGCTTATTATATCTCGGGATTTACGGTAATGTTTCTCTATATAGATATTATTTTTTACCACAGCATTACGGCCGCCATTTTTTTTTAGTAAATAGACCATTTTTTAAAAAAAAAAACAGTATGCCCTTGTTCAGTGCATAATTTTCGTCTACCGTCAAGTTTATGAATGAATCAGAATTTCAAGAATTTCCAAAAATTGCTACTTTGTGAAACAGGCTCCCGGCAGGATGTTTTCCTAATCACACACTTTTCCGACACACTTTTGACCTCTTCAAGTCTAAATTTAACCGTTATGTTTCCTGCATAGCTCCAAGACCTCTTGTCTTTTCTTACGCTCATACAACACTACACAGTGATCCTCTACCTTGAGTGGCTCTTGGGCCTTGTATTGGGTGTCCATTAGTATAAAAAATTCGTTTTCTCAAACCAATGATAAAAATGATAATGATAAAAATGGCTTCAAACAAATAGATCCTTAAAGTTTTAAAGAAGTAAAAATGAAAGGTTTGGAAGAAAACTCTCTTCAATATTAGAAAGGGCAGTAAGTGGACTTGAGAATCCCAATTTCCTGAAATAACTGTTTTAAGAAAGAAAAAAAAAAACAACATAATTTTATATCTTTTAACCGAGAGTAACACTAAGTGTTTGGTAAGTAAATGCCGAATGCTTCCCGTATGAAAACAGCTAATTTTACCATTACCAACATACGTAGAAGACTTAATCCCTAATGAGGTTTGAAGTCGTACTTAGAGGTGAATAACTCACTACTCGCACTATCAAGTATCAGCATTAAAACAAGCTTTTTTTCTATAGAAGTATTGCTTTTGTCAGAGGACTGTATCTAGGTTTATTTCTTCGAGGGTCTGAGAGTAAAGTCACTAAACCGAAGTCCCTCGCCCTTTTTAAGTGCCGTAACAAATAACTGACCTTTTAGAGGAAGGACAGAGAGTCTCTGAGTGGAGTGAATATGTACTATTATATTGCAAACGTGACTGACTCACAAAGGCTGAGTAAATACAAAGGGCAAGTAATATTAACACTTTATAAGTAGCAAAAGCCTTTATGACTAATAAAGCCTTAGACAGCCAGTTGAAAGAAAAGGAACCGATAGAGCTTTTTTGAGCCTGTTGACCACAGTGTAATTATTACAGGCATGAAACCAATTCTCCTTATCTTACTATTGGTCATATTTTCAGTTATTTAGCTTCTAGATTTAGATGTCTTTTCAATATCCCAGTTCAATGAGGGAGTATGGATACCCGAGTCAAGTGATTTGTCACGGTTTCAAATGAACCTATTATTATGGGCTTGATCCTAACTTTCATATTCTAGTTTTTCTCAGCTCCCGAGCAAGGTCCTGGTATTTTTCCAAACGTTCACCTGCTCACGTTCCCTCTGATACAGTTAAAACCACGATCTTCCTTTCTTTTTCCCATTGGTAGATCTGATCTTTTTACTTTTTTACTCGTTGTGCAACACAAAGCCAAAGAGCCACTCGAGTTAGGGAGTTATTGAATGGAGTGTGTGGTTTGGATGTAACAAGAGAACACAGAAAGTGTAGATTATGAGCATATGTAGAATAGATAATGGTTGACCTTAGACTTGAAAAGGTTACGATTGTAGTGATCGGGCAAACATCCTGCCGGGTGTCTGTTCCACAAAGCAGCGGTTCTCGAGAATAAACAGTCGATCTCACTTCTTACCAATGGATTGCAAAGGGAATGAGGAAGATTCGACCCTGTGTCCGTGGCATGTGAAGGTCTGAACTGCAGGGACTATGGTATGTAGCTCGTCAGAACATTTTCCATGGAAATAGCGTTAGAGTAGCGATAAGCTTACGACATTTCATCTATCAGAAAGGGGTTGTAGTTTTGAAAATAAGTCATCACCCACAAGGCCGCATAAACGCCTTTGAACTCTGTCAAAATTTGAAAGTGAGGATTGGAAGCTCCAGTCAAAATATGACGGTATTAATTTTGAGGTCTTCTTGATTGGCTTAAATAGCTGAATTTGGTATCGAACGAAATTCTAGAGTATTTTTTAAATTTTATATTTTTAGTACAAGTAATTTTCACAGTTCCCAGTATAGGACTGTTTTCACCCTGTCATGTCTTCTGTTTTATCCAGTTTACCACATTATGCAGTTTGTCGTTTCATATTTTTCTCATCGCTGGAAAAAGGGTCTGCTCCCGGTACCGCTCCAGTAAGTACCTGACTCCTCATGCTATCCTCTACCTTTACAAGACACATATTACGCCAAGGATAGAACACTTTTGTCATATTTGGGCGGGAACTGCTTATTTATCACTCTCCAGCCTCGAGTCCAAAAGCGTCTCCGAGTCCTTGTGGGTGATAAATTATTTTCCATCCTACAACCTCTCTCTCAGAGGCGGGGATGTGGTAAGTCTCTCACTGTTCCGTCGCTACTTGCATGAAAAGTTCTCGAACAAACTACATTCCCTGGTTCCGCCAGTCTTAACCTTAACGGCTAGGACCCGTCATGCCACTTACATTGTAGCAACCCCACCCACATTCCCTCCGTATTCCATCGGTGAGAAGTATGTTCCACTCGAACAGCATCTTCCCACGAATCGACTCCCAAGAGGATATTTCCCCGATCACTACAATCTTTTCAAGTCTAGAGTTAACCGTTATCTTCCCCTCCTATCCGTATAAACCGCTTCTTAATGTAACCCTCTACCTCGAGTGGCACCCGAGCCTTGTACAGGGTTGAACTTCAATGTAAAAAAGAAAAACGTTATACTCGTAAGAAGTTATGAGAAATGGAAGTTATTTTGCTTGCTTATATTTTTTTTAACTGGATGTAGGGAAATAATTTATAAAATTAAAAAAATATATTACATCAATGTCTAATTTTATGCTAAAATCAAAAGTTGTTCTTCAATTCAGTTTCGAACTACGGTTAGGTTTTTACACTTCCGGTTTGATGAGTGTTTAAAAAATGGTAAATTACGGTTCAAACTGTAATTTGAAACCGATTCAAAAAACTCTTGTGACATATCCGTAAACTGATGGGAGGAAAAAAAAAAAAAAAAAAAAAAACCCCCCCCAAAAAAAAAAACGACCGCAGTGCTCAGGATTAGAGACAGTTGTTATGTTTGTATGCCTGATTATTGTGCTACAAGTGTTCGAGGGCAGTATTTTTTTGAGGCAGGACTACTCATTATTTTAATTTGTGCTAGTTAAATCGGTCCTAGTCTGGGTGGAAGTAGGTGTGGTTACTCGAGAAGTAGAACGGTTTTCAGTCAAGAGAGATAAAGTTGTCGGAAAGAAGTGGTCTTTTTCGAGAGCGGATCTTACAAAAACCGGGGAGACGAAGCAAAAAAGAAATCGAAACGAACAGCTCTTTTGAGGTTTTTTCCTTAACCGAACTCTAGGAATTTGGCAACGGTAACTTTTTATTTTTTATTTTTTATTCTGGTTTCATATTTCAGTGTTAAAATTCAATATGTCTCAGGTTTCGAACTTTAACGAAACACCATAGCGATAGGGACGATGAACCTGTAAGGATATCATTGTTGGTTTAGAAAGAAAGCCTCGAT